ATCTCTTTCTTTGCTTTATTGTGCTTGTTTGGGAAACAGTCAACCTGTCCTCTTGAGAAAATATGTGTGAAAAACAGCCTGTTCTTGTGTTAGTGCTGAGTAAATGCGAATCGCTTGTCGTGCAGCGTGGCTGTAGAGAGGAGCGCAGCAAAGCTCTCCTGCCTCCCAGTCACCACGGTGAATTCCACAAGATAAATTCAGTATTTGTCACTTTGCTAGAAATTATGCACTGTACCACCTTCAGCAGTTATATTTTTAGGTTTGAGGATAGAATATTTTACTCAAGGTTTTCTTCCCTTTGCGGAAAATATATAGCGATATCAAGAGTGTGGGTTTTTTGTTTGGTTTTGTTTTCTTCATAAATAAAGTTTGCATCTGAGCATGAGGTGGCACTTTCTGTTTTTAAAAGTTTGATCAGATGGGAAGTAGTTTGGAAAAAGATTGAAGGAATTAGAGGAGATGCTGATGGTGTGTCACATGACAACCAGGACAACAGTAAAGTTCTAATATAATATGAAATATTCACTYAAGTATATAAAAATGCTTGCTATAAAGGAAAGATTATCCAAACTGAAGTTTTAGGAATCCTTCAATAGTGCTATGTAGTTGCACTTTAGCAATTTTTTGCCTCCATTGAAGAGCCACTCTTTCTGCAGCAGTGAAATGGGTTTTAACCAATATCATAYTTATGAAATGTCTACTTTATGATATATATATATAAATAATATTACCATAGAGAGTTTGTATAGTATTTGGCAATAATGACTTTGAAGTCATGAAACTGTGAAACAGGGAAATCTACCAGTAAATTAGATAGTTTTACTGAAAAAAAAAAGTGTTCTTATGCCTTATATTCTCTTTCACATTTCTACTTCATAAATCTATTTAAAATATAATACTRTTTTCCTCAATTTCCAAAATCGGGAAATTGGTAAAATGACTTTAGAACACTTTTCTTATGCCTACCATTTTGTTTATATATCCTTTGAGAAGATACTCAATGATTTATTTGAGCAGAAAGTAGGTAAAAAGATAGTTAACTGATGTGTCATTTAATTAGAATTTTATATTGACATAAAATCACATAATTAACTTATCATTTAAAAGTGTCCTACAGCCTTGACAATCATGGAATAGTAATTTAGAAATTACTGTTTAGCTGCCTGTAACTTATAATTAATTATCTTCTCAGCATAAAATATTAAAGCATAGAAAATTTGACTATCCTCCTCTTTATGTGTTGCATAATATTATCTTGTGCAGAAATAGTAGGAAGAGTGTTTTATATATCACTGTGAAACAAGTTTTCACTCCGTCTCTAGTTTGAATTCTTATTAGAGAGAAAMTTTCTTTAAGAGAATCCCTATGTTTAGCTCTTAGAGCACAGTAAGGAAGGTATTACTAGTGTTAATATAGAAAATGGTCTTTTTAGGAATTTATTGATGGATTTTTAAAAAATTCTATTGTATTTACCAAAACCAAAGAAAATAGACAGACTGAGCATTATTAAACAATTTCATGTTATCCAGTAAGGTGTATTGTCTTCAGGGTATTATTAAATGAGAAGAAAAGAATTAGTTCATTGTTCTCATTTAGTCTCATTGTTCTTTTTTAAACGTAATTTCCAAACATCTGATTTTTTTAACTAAAATATCACCACAAGCTGACATAAGTTTGTGTGCTCTTCTTTTATCTTCCAAAGCTTGAGTTTTATAATTTAAAATTTACTATAGTGACTTAAGGAAGAGTGGTATTTGATGCTGTTTTCCATGGGAAAAGAGCTTTGCGGGATTATTTATTGTGCTATAGGAGAACTCTTTTGAAATAATTTGAATGGTTATTGTAAAGGTATTCTGTCCATTATGGGGAAATAACTTTACTTATCCTYCCTATGACTTGCATAAATCATGGGCTACATTTGTTGCCATGTGAATGTGGCTTTAAGGTTCTTCTTAGAGCGTTCAGCTTCAAGTAGCAATGCAGCAATGGTCTAGATTAAGGATATTATTGTAGACTGCACATATATACGTGCTGAGAAAAGCACATCTGTAAAACTGTTGTGTCCGGGTTATTAGAGCTAGGATTTGAACTATCTTTAATCTCATTTGACTTGTTCATCTTCCTTAAGGATCTCCATAAAGATGCACTGAGTATTCTTTTCAGCCCTTAGTTAGGGTTTGCATCAGTGGTCGTAAACCTGCTTAACGGACAAAGACTCCCTTCCCTTTGAAGTCACTTCCCCAGCTTTTCAAAAGGTCTGCAAGCCCCTTCCCCTAAAACAATTTAGAAAAGTTTGAAGTGGTGCCCCTTAAACCAGCAACAAACTAAAATATTCTCTTTGCATTATTGAAAACCATGACAATCTTCTGAAGCAATAACCATTTAAAAGCTTTTAAAGAAATCTGTTCTGCTCCACGACCAGCTTTTAAGTTGACSTCATTATTTGACAAATCAGAGACTTGGGAGCTCCTAAATACTTGACATTCTTATCAAAGGAGTRAGCCTAACTTTTCACAGGACTTATGTTTTACAGTATTTCTTCAATRCTAATGTCCTAATTCATAATTTCTTTAAAGATACTATTCAGATTTCTTTTATTCCTATTTTTGCTTTGAAGTATTTCTTTATAATAAAAATAATTTAATAAACAGATGAATTTAAGAAATGTAGACCTGACCACTTCTAGACTTACTCTGCTTTATTTGAAATTTCATCTCAAAAATAAAATGCAATTTACAGAAGTCCAATTTTGTGTGGACTGTGATCAGTATATGCACTCATTTTCTTTTTTTAAGCAAGTAACACATTGTGTGTGTATAGTTACAACTTAAAGTAGGGAAAGCCTAGGAATCTGGTTGCTGTAAAGCAGTAAGTATAAGAATGTTTATCTGCACCTCCTAACAGTGCTTATAGGTCCTGCAAGCTCAAACATCTTACATTAATTACCTTCAATGCAATGTCTATTTAAACAGCTTTGATTTCTAAAGTTTGAAAAGTAAAATTTTTCATTAATATGTGCAGAATACAATTAGATAAATTCCTTGCTGATCTGTGCAGCAGAGATCTGTGTGCTAAATGCAATTTTTGGAAGCAAAGCAAAATAATAAAACCAGAATTCTAGAATCTTGCTGATGTAAGCATCTCAAAACAAACTAACAAATGCCTTGACAGCATAAAGTACCTCTTGTTTTGTGGTTTGGGGACCAAGTGGAGAAAGAATTAGATAAAATTAAATAGCTACTGGTAGGAAGACTGTTACGATTACTGCTAGATTTTTCTCTAAAACTGCACAAATTTGTGGATTGTCTACACAGTGTTTTAAAGTATATTCAAAGGAATGTTTAATAGAGCAAGCTGCCTCCAACGCAAGCATTTAGTGGAATCGGTCCCCTGGTCATATGTTCACCCTTATGCTTCCAATTTGTTTGGGGGCTGGTTCTTTCCTTCTGAAATGTCTGCCACACTTCCTGGGTTTGAGTGTGTTTTGCTAAACGTTATATGAAGCAAAAGCAATAGCCTTTAACGATTATATATTAAGAGATTAGGGATCATTCSCTGGTCCCATTTTCAGATTTAAACTGCTGCTACATGCATACCTACATACGTAAATATATATACAAATACACACTATTTATAACTTGTAGTTGCTATTGCAGAAATGAATCAAATTTCCAAAGTCCTTATTCTTTATTTGATACTGGATTGTAGCTTAGGACCTATCCTAAGAGGCCATCTGAACACAACAGCTACGTGGACGTTCTGGGAGTTGTTGCAAATGGTTTGAGTAAAAATGTAAATTATTGTCAGTAAGCCCAAATCCTCATTTCTTCTTCCTAAAAGTTTGTCACTGCTCCTGTGCCAGATGTGAATAGTTAACTTTTAATATTTTTCCAAAATTTCTGATAAGACACAATATTGTTGTTGCTAGTACTGATATGACTCTACTTGGATAAATTAGTCAGATTGTGCTAATATTAGCTTTTAAAAAGTTACAACTTAAAATATAATTTGCAAAATGCTATTTTAGTAGCAAATGGAGTCAGTTGGCCCTATTATTGCTGTGTCTTATCAAAAACCTTCTGTTTTTGAAGTGAAATAATGAGTGATTTTACCACTATTTTGCTGCCTTGTTGACATCTCGCAGAACTCTCAGCATCATTTATTTTTAAGTGAAAGTGTTTCCTCCTGCTTACAGCCTTGCTTATTCCTTTTTTAGCTACATGACACTGTTGAAAATGCATTCTTCCGAGTTTTCATGCCTCATAAAAAGCTATGAATAAAATAAGTATATGGAAATACAAAGGTAACATTGTGCTGTCCATGAAATGCTGGCACTTGCAAAAAGGGGTGATCCAAGGAACGATGCAGTGAAGGCATAAAACAGTCTAAAAAGATTTATAGCATATGTTTACTTTGTGCCTTTATCTTGGAGAATTAAAAAAAAAGGTTTATTCAGATATACCAGTTGCATATTTTTTCTTTTATTTCTCCAAAATTCATATTGATTGTGTTCTAAACTTTACCTTTTAGAAGTGACAGCACAGCAAAGTTTTATCATGATTGCTAGATTAAAACAAAATCAGACAGCTGATGCTTCACTTTATCTTGGGGCCTGGTAGTTTTTTCTTCTCAGTATTTGTCATGAAGATGTTTATGTTCAATTATGCTTAGTACAGAAGAAGGTAGTACCTGGATTAATCTCTTCCTGCATCCCTGGATGTAGGACCTAACTTCCTCCCCACCAAAAAAACCCCAAAACCAGAAAACTTTTGGTTTTGCTACACACTGCTTTTATATGAATGCTTGTTACTGAATCTCTGTAGCCTACTGCTGCTGTACTGTGCAAATAAGTGCAGACTGACTGCATGCAAACAGCAGCATAGAAGTGATTTGCAGGGACTGTAAGGTCCAAGAGCACTGAAGGATGCTTCAGTGACAGAAAACATGTTTTTTGAAATGGATTGTAACCAAAGATTGCTTTTATTGTTTTTTCATTGAAGGTGATTTTGCAACTCCTCGAGCTATTTTGACAGGACATGACTATGAAATCACCTGTGCTACCGTTTGTGCTGAACTTGGCTTGGTAATAAGTGGTTCAAAAGGTGAGCAAACTGTTGTCTTTTATTTCTATTCATAAAGCTATAGAACTAATGCAAAAATGAATATAGTCCTAAGGGGTAGAATTTATTTACTTTGCTTATATTTTMAAGTTTCTTTTAGTTGCTGCAGAACTGGAGTGAATTTGAAACCTCTTCCTAAACATGTTGGAACTGAGGGTTATTCAGTCATCCGGGAGAAAGAGCAGATCGTTAGGCAACCACATGAGCTGCCCTGTTTTAGCTGTTTGCTTATGCAGCCTAATTGCATGTAGCGTGCAGCTGGATCCAGCTCTTGCCTGCCTGTATGGTCAGGAATGTGTTTCTGCAGTCAGGCTTGTTTTTGTTATAGATAACTTCTCAGGAAGAAAAGCAAGAATTAGTTTCAAGAGAATGTGCTGTTTAGTTTGTTTGATGAAAGGCACATATATGCTGCCCGCTAAAATTGGTAGTAATTCTGCTCAGGCTTTTTGAGTTTAACTATAGACCTGTACAACAGTAGTGTTCTCCTCAAAGACCTGCTTTTGCCAGGCAAGTTAAAAAGGATGGCATTGATTCTACAGATATTGTGGTTTTTTTTTTTTCCTTCTTTGCTGACCTTCAGTTATTTTTAAATGGGAAGGTCCTTAAAATTAGGATCTTTCTCCTTCARTGTTTTCAAGGTACCTACTTTGGAGCTCCCCAATGAGGGGTGTCCTCAGTGTATGCAGCTATGTCTGTTTCTGTTTTATGTACATGAGCATTTGTGACTTGCATAGAAAGCAGGTATTTGTCCAAATTTATTAAGAAGCAGCTACATAGTTGATCACCTGTGGATTAACATCTTTATTAAGAATATGTGTGAAAACTGACACTTTTAGAGTACATGCGTTATAAATTCATTACATTTATGTGTCTTCATACTCTGAAATCTTATTTAAGGATTCTAAACAGTAAATACATTTATTTTTCTACACTCAAAATTAGCTACTATCAATTTTAAAAGGAAATCCACAAAAGAAAAAGAAAAAGGAAATTCCCCCAAATCTTTATTAGATCTTTAATTCTGTTAGCTGCTCTAAAGTACATTTGATACAAAAAAAATAAGGAATAAGCTGTTCTCATTATTCTAGCCCTCATAAGCTCATAATATTTCCAGTTACATATGGTAAAAGTGAGTATATGGTAAAACATATGAATATTGACTATATGGTAAAATAATATCCTATTATACTATGGTATAATAATATACTACGTAATATACTTAAGGAGAGGCTATTACTTATTATTTGCTATAGGATGCCTTCAAATGAACTTCTAAGCCAATAATTGAACTTACTAACCTGACTTAGTAACTTTTTATTCTGTCTCATTAGAAGGACCATGTCTCATACATTCTATGAATGGAGATCTGCTGAGGACATTAGAAGGTCCTGAAAATTGCCAGAGACCAAAACTTATCCAGGCTTCAAGAGAAGGCCACTGTGTCATATATTATGAAAATGGCCTCTTCTGTGTATTCAGTGTGAACGGGAAGCTTCAAGCCACCATGGAAACAGGGGACAACATAAAGGTAAGTGCATGAAAATGTCTGCTGAGGACTGTAAGCTTCAATATCAGGAAAGCCACCAGTTTTGGAGTTGTGTCAAGATTCTTTCTGCAGCCAGGCCATAGAAATACATGGCACTAGACCCAAACAGTGGTGGTTGTGGTGTATGCAGAKATCCCCGTTTGTGAAGTGACCAAGTGCAGAGAGATATGACAAAATCTTTAAACGTTACTGCAGCTGTAAATACAGATTTGAGGAAAATGATGTGCATATTTCTGTCACAAGACATTTTTTCAAATGGATGTAGATTCTTCAATTTTTAATCTTCCTTCAGTTCTCTGAAATGGCTCCCTTTTCTGCCCTTGTCCAAAAGCTTCAGAGATTTTCAGCCTACCCTTCCTGCCAGATCCTACTTGCTTCCTATAAAGCAAGTCCATATCACAGTGGTTTGTCTCTCTTCTCTTTTTGCAATAGTAACGTTGATAATCTGTCACTTTGAGTTGCGATTATGTTGTCAGCTAGGCCAGCAAATCTGTAAAATAGCTGGAAATCCCTCGCTGGCTAAAACAATTTCTGTAGTGTTTCAGTCGGTATCCCCRCTCTGGGAACATTGCCCGCGGCAAGGCAAGTCCCGCTCTCTGCAGACCTGGAATAACATACGTACAGGGGCTTTGCTTTGCTTCTCTCCTTCCCAGTGCTCCCAGTTGGGCTTTAGGCTTAAACAAGCTACAACAACTTTTCCCAGAGCTTCTGTGCTCTGTTGTGCTAGGAGGCGAGCAGCAGCTGCCTGGTTAGAGCAGAGGTGTTTAAAACTAATAGTACCTACCCACGGGCTGTGCTGGGAAATGCTTTACTTGGTTTTGGTCGTGGAAAATAGAAAAGGTAAGGAATAGGTTGCAAGTGTTGGGTGTGCCAAGTAAGATTCTAGTTTATGCATGTTGTTGCATAAGGATATTTCAGAATGTTACCGTCAAAATCAGCAGTTTACCATAACGAAGCTTAGAAAAAACTGCCTTTGCTTTCTTGTGGTCTTGGGCAAGAAAGCTGCTAAGAAGATTTCTGAATGTCTGGACAAATCTGAAGTCTGCTGCATGTTTTCCACCTGTTTTTGTTTTAAATACTCTACTGCTCAGTAGAGTTCAGGCATATCAGTACATCTACTATGTAATGTTTAGATATCTTAATGAATAACTTAACTCTAAATAGTCTGCTTGTTCTGAGAAGTAAAGTTATTTTAGCCTAAACAAAGACTGTATGCTGTTTCACCCAGAGGAACCAATTTATTTTCTTTTCCTGAGTTTGTTTTGAAATGTGGAAGTGCCCACAAGCCTCTTGCTGCTGTGAGCCAGAGCTGTCACAGTGTCAGCTCTGCCTTTTACCAAGCACTGCCTTTCAAAGCTCTGAGATGTTAGAGGATTTGTGCAAAGATTTCCAAGGAAATATGAGTCAGAAATGTACCTTCCAGAGCTTTGCTGAAGGTGGGTGCATTGGGGATCGTTTGCAAGTCTATGAGTGTTACAGTGTGAGAAAGATTAGATGTGGAGTTGTATCTGCACCGACCTAGCAAAATCGTAGACAAATTATGCTGGGGAAAAGCAGAATGGGAAGTTCTTTAGTCATCTGCTGTAGCAGTTGGAGCACAAGCATCTTTTAGTTTGGTAAGTCTTGAAGAGCATGTCGTGAAACTGATATTTTGACAAGGTGACTTTTTCTTGGAATCATTTATTCTTTCATATATATATATATATATATATAGGGAAGGCAAATGGTGAAATATTTATAAACAATAAAATAAAACATATCAACATCTAGTCTTCTTGACAAGCCAATGACTTTGTAACATTTAATAGGTATTAGTAAAGGTTCAAAGCCTATTTAATCAAGAGATCACAAAAATCATTGAATTTTGCAGGTAGTGGAAGAGTTAAAGATTAATGGCTTTAATTTGCCTTTTAATATAGCATTTCTCCAGCAAAAGCCTCAAGTATAAAACTCAAGTGAACCATGACCGTGAGGTTAATGGATTTTCATCAGCTGAATTTTATAAGTGTAGCAAATAATTATTTGTCATGCTCTTCATTGYGATTTGAAAATACCCTTAGGAGACTGCCATTTCTATAAAGAAAAAGAAAATTATATTGATTTTGCTTCTAATGAATAATCTTTTTAGTAATTGCATGTGGTATATTGTATCTCATGATAATCTACTCAGTGCATACATAGTTTTAGGTAACTTTCACTGTCCTAATTTGTTTTCTACCACCTACTTGGTGACTCTTGTTAGAGTGAGTGTCCCTAAATTAGCCTTCAGGCTGCTTGGGGTTGTGATTTGAGAGGCACTTAGTATGTTTTGGTGGGATGATAGAAACAGTTTATGGTTGAAACGTTTTCCTTGTTGTGGAGGAGCTTCAAGACGGAATACTCGAGTCTAAACTTGGCTAGTATTTAGCTTTCCATAGTTTTGACAGTCTCCATTGTCCTGATGGCTCAGGCTGATATCAGTCCATGTGGTGGAATTTGTTTCACTTTTTCGATTTAGAAAAGCCAGARACTGAAAGTGACCCCTTAAAATAAACAGCAAGAGCAAAAAGAACAGAATGAGCATTCGTCTCAGATTAGAAATATCCAAGTTGCCAGGATGAGACTCATAGGCATGAAATACCAAATTAAGGTGCATGATCAGGATGCATGATCAGAGACCCAGAAACATATGCTGCTCAGCGAGGTCTAGTAAGAATAGTAAAGTCCCCTACCCCCTGGAAGTAGAGGTCTGATATACATATGACCTATTTTAGTATAAATACGAATTTAAATGACTTGTTTCCTACAGCCAGAGAAGCTACATCTTTCTGAAGTTCAGTGTAATTAAAACAAGTAAAGGGATGGAGCAACAAAATAGAGTGGGGAGGTCTGAGGCGATGAGGAAGGATCATGTGCTGATGAAGGCAGTGGATAAGGTGAATACGCTATTGCTCACAAGAACGTACAGCCTGTGAAGTCTCACAGGGACTGCTAAAACGTTGCTTCCAAACAGATRAAGCTTTGTTGTAGGATGAACTTCCTGGCTTTTTTGCCACAGCGGGCAAAAAAAGAGATCAGCGGGTCCAAAAAGAGATTCAACAAATTCATGGGATCACATCCATGAATAGATACTAAAGAGAATGGGCAGAGATGTTCTCTAATATCCTTGATCCGACAGCTGAGGAGCGCCAGGAGAATGCACTGTAGGGGTGGCAGTAGTGCTGGTCTGATACACTCCGATAATTTTTGTAATGTTTCAGTTCCTGACATAATTCAACTCCAGCCAGACAGAAGCAGGAGAGGAGATTCTGCTGCAGTGRTATTAAAGACATTTAGGAGAATGTAGCGTGCTATGTTTTAATGCCAGCACTGCTGGCTCTCGTAAATCCAGTGACTCAGAAGAGTGCATTTCTTTAGTTGGCCTCATATTAGATATTTGGAATATATAGGTGAGGTAAAACCTAACTAGTGCCACCTACCAGAGCATGACCACATTAATTCTATTGCTTTAAAGACTAACAACTGTTTTTCAGAAGCTTATATTTATGGCTATGAAAGAGGAGGAACCAAAGGAATGCATGTTTTTCTGAGGTGAATGTCCATGTGGTTTCCCGTAGGCGATCCAGCTGAGTCGAGACGGGCAGTACCTGCTGACAGGAGGGGACAACGGGGTCGTCATGGTCTGGCAGCTGTGGGACCTCAAGCAGCTTTTTGCTTACCCAGGGTGCGACGCTGGCATCCGATCAATGGCCCTGTCGTATGACCAAAGGTGAGAGCAAAGTCTTCCTAAGAATTTCATTGACTGCATTGCTACAATTAAACTTGTCTTTTCCTTATGATTTTGATTTTTCATGGATCACAAGGTTCTGGCGATTATATTAAGAATTCTGAGTTTACATACTTTCCTTTCTAGCATCATATTTAGACAGGAACGTGGTTGTTGCCTCAGATTCTTGGGGCTATATTGATGCAACTCTTCAGTGCTGCAACTCATGGATGTGAATGCGATGTGGGTCACTAACTAATCCAGTGTTGTACTTTCCATAGGTGTATAATGACGGGCATGGCATCTGGGAGCATAGTGGTTTTCTACAATGATTTCAATCGCTGGCATCATGAATATCAAACCAGATACTGATCTTGAGACAGACCAAGATCAGCACTGATGTGGGCAGCTGCTGTCAGAGCGCAACTGAAGATTGCAAGCCTCCCTTGGTGGCTTGCCCCAGATTTATTCCTTATACATAGCTGTATTACATCTGAATGTAACTTAAATTTGCTGGGAGAAGCAACCTATTTTTAAAGTTAATTGCTATTTTTGTAGACCTTGCTTGACTTTTTTTGGGGAAGGGCAAAGAAGCAGAAAAATGGCTGCTGGGTTCTGTAGTTAAAAAAATCTATATTTTTAGTCATAATGAGAAGTCTATTTTGATCCACATATGAAAAGAAACCTAAAATAATGATGGTTAAAACTCGCATTCTAGCTATATTATGCAGAAACAGATTTTCCATCTGAAGCTTTATGTATAACCTTGAATAATATATGATTTTAACATAATGGAAATAAATTATGATGTTTGGGGGTTTTAATCTGTACTATCTGCATAACATTTTGTCTCGTCCTTTTCCAAATGATTGTATTACTTCAGTGCTGAAGTTTCTGGGAATCAGTAGTTATATTTAAATTATGGTTAATGTAATTTTACACATTACAAAGAGTTGTTTCCATCCATGTTACTATTGAAGCATGTTTCTCAACCTAGACAATTAGTTCCTTTTTAGTTAAATGTTTTGTGCAGTTGAGAGGGAGAAATSAGCAACGGAGTTTGTGTTACACCCAGGGTGAATCCCTCTAGCTTGTGCCGGGTGTCTCCTCCAAAGCACACCAAAATGTGGATTGTTCCTCCGACTCAGAAAGGCTCTTTAAAGAGCTTGAACTTCARTTAGCAGCCGTGACAGGCACGTATTTTTCATAGGTGCAGGTACCAAAGCACATGGCTGGGAAGGCCTCCAGAGGTGGAGGGAGCCGCAGAAACACCAGGCCTGAGGCTGCTTTTCCATTTCCCCCCCAGACTCACCCCACCAGACCATGTCACACATACACATTTCTTTTCTGTGTGTGGCAACAAAATCTTTTGTATTTTGCTATCACCAAATCCCGTCCAATCATGTTAAATGATTTTTCTCTTAGGAATTGAAAACTAATTTTACTAAGGAACAATAAGTTATTTTGGTGTTGCACAAATCTACTTTTCTATGAGATTGCTGTGCAGGATTCTGTGAAAATATTTGTGAAAAGAACTGTTATTGTTTTGTAAGTCTGTATTGCCTAAAAACCTTCTTTGTATGTCGTGATCTCTCCGAGTTGAACTTTACATTCCATATCTGTACCGATACCTACGTTTCCGGAGCTGCCTTCTGGAGCAGTTCCTGATTTTCTAAGCATTTAACTACTCTCTCTTTTAAGTAAAAGATCTGGAATGAGAAAATTCAGTTTAAGTGAAGCAATGAAATAAAATGGCATTGGTAATTGAGAGCTTCTGTGGAGTGCGCTGGGTTCTTGCAATTCAAAGCACCTGCCGCGGGGCGGAAGCAGCTGCTCTCCAAGGCACTTAGAGCTGCTYGTGGTGCTTGTGCCCTGGTGGCCGAGCCCCGTGGGCCCCCCACGCCCCCCTCCACAMGATGGGCATCGTGTGGAGGGGAACGTGGGGGGCCCACGGGGCTCGGCCACCAGGCTGTGCAGCAGCAGGATGATGACGTGGTCAGGTGAGGCTGCAGCTGCAACGTCCGTGATAAAAGTGCCTGGATGACGGAGCGGGACTGTGTGTCGCACGGAGCCGGTACGTCCCCCGTCGGCAAGCGCAACGGCAGCTGTGTGCTGTTGTCGGAGGCTCTTGTGGTGAGCGGCTCCAGGGGAGCTGAGTGTTTCCTCTCTGGCAGATGGGCGTTTTGCACATTGGGAGCACGGCAGCCTGCTGTGGGAAGTGAAGCCTTTGCCTGCTGTCCCTCCGAGAGGACCCCTGATGCTGGAGTGCGTGGCAGGCGGCACGGTGAGTAGGGTGCTCCCCTGCTCTGGGGGTCTGGCAGCACCCATGGGTATGGGGAGGGGGGCTCCTTTCCCCAGGATGTCTCAAACACAGTTGCTGGGGCTGCTGCTTGTGATAAAGTGGCAAAAAAAGGGCTCATTTTCCACCTGTGCCAAAAAGTGTGATTAGCATCAGGTTTCCAGTGTGATTAGCATCAGGTGTTGCTCGTTAAGGCACTAACTGCCCAGGGCCCGTGTGCTTGAGGAGCAGCAGCTGCTCTCCGTTCCAGAGCCCCGTTGCCTCRCAGCTCGGAGGGAGAGTTTCTGGATGGTGTTTCTGCACGTGGCCACATGGACCTGCTGRTGGGGTGAGTTCAGAGGGCTGTTTTGCTGCCTCGTGGCTGTGGCACGTGGYGCTGCCGCGGGCAAGGCTGGTGGGGTGGGAGGTGCACAGCGCGGCTGCCACGGACGCAGCTTGGGTGGGTGGTGGCTGCGGCCAGGGGCACGTGCGGAGCGGTGCTGTCCCTSTGGGTCTGGGTGTCGCGTGTGCCCACTGCGCGGCCTCTGGGCGCCTCCCTGCTCCCTGAGTGGCTTCCTTGGCCTTTYGGGAGCGCCTGGCACTGCTGGGGTCTCTGGCCCTGCTTGTGCAGCACTCGGCAGAGGAGGGGGCCGGGGGAACCCGTACAACGTGAGGACAACATCGAGGGGCAGTGCTGGGTTCTGCGGGGGGAGGCTCCTGGGTGCTGAGCGGGGTATGTCCTGCCGCAGCGCCAGCCCCACGATCTTTCTTCCATGTTATGGCTGGTCAAACAGAATAAAGGATAACCAAGAAAACAGCTGTGTGGTAGCTAAAGAAAACCAGAGCTGGGCCGTCCTGTGGGTGCTGGTCTAGATCTGTGCGGTGTTTCCCACACGGGGTTAGGGCCACTGGTGTAAATCTGGAGATGAGACACCCCSAGACTTTCTTCCTGACACAGAGTTATCCAAAATCCAAGGGAGTCTCTRTTTTTGTAGATCCAACCCGAGGCCTTTGGTAAGGCAATACGTTTAATGATGCACGTCAGTGTTTAGGCATCATAATTTAAGGCTGTTCTGCAAAAGCTCCGCATGGAAAACTGTAGGAAATTGTTTCTGATTTTGTTTAGGTTTACTGAAATCCAAATGTGTGTAACCTAATGCCCTGCAATTCTCAGGCAGGCAGCCTTGTGTGAGAGGAGGAGGGTAGCAAATATGCCACAAATATTGGAGGAGCAAATTTTAACCTGTATTTGTAAATGGTTTGTTTTTAGGGAAGTTTTGTTGTTATAAACATATGAGGATGTAAATGTTTTATGAATGTTCATAAAAACTCTGTGATTTTTTTGTGCAAAGCCTTTACATGACGCTTTACAAAACGAAATTCAGGGAAGCTCTGTGTCCTGCTGCAGCCACGTTCTGTTGTGTGCTGATCTGCTGCTGCCTGTGATCTCCTGAAATGAAGGCAGACCCCATGTCAGGCATGCAAAGAGAAGTGTGAACTCAGCCAGACATGAGGCTGTGTGCAAAGCCACACCTGGAACTGCATCCGTGGTCACCTAAWAAAGGCTTTTGGTTGCGCCCTGGACATAGGCATGTATTGCGCGGGAGCAGGAGCACAGCGAGGAGGCTGCTGTTCACTGCATGGGCAGTTTGAGATAGGGCYGGGTTCTGTTTTCCTCCACCTCGGGATTCTTCCCGCCGGTGTCGCTGCGTTGGCTGCCTGCTCGGCTCRGGAGCGCCGAGCGCGGCCGCGCAGCCGGAGCTGCCGCTGCTCGCGGTGCAGGGCGACGCGCTGCGGCCGGCCGGGCAGCTCGCCCGCCGTGCGGGAAGGGCACACGCGCATCACGCGTTGGAAAGTCGTGGGTTTGGTTTTCCTTTTCCCTTCACAGCACCAATAGGATAAAACATAGCTTGGAGGCTGCGATGCTGAAGAGGTTTTATGCCTGTAAGAGATCAGGCCGCATTCAGGAGAGCGCCGGCATCTCCTGCAGGGCAGCGGACACCCCGGGGGCTGGTGGGCCCAGCAGGTAGGTGAGTGTGGGCAGCGCTGGGGCTGCCGCCGGCTCCCCGTTCTGCCCTTGTGTCCCTGTGCTGCTGCTGCTGMTGATCCTCCTTCACACAAGCCCTGGGAGCTGCAAAGGCAACTTCTCCAAACAGCAGGTCTCCTTTTCAGGGAATTGTTACTAAATTGTGAACTTTATTAGTTAAATCAACTGGGAGGTATTTTGGGGAGAGAGGAATAGACRCAGGTAGATGCTAATGAAGTTGTGCTTCTCTGAAGAGCACATCCTGCATCAGCCTCACTCTGTGGCCCCTGCTTCCAAAAGGGAGCCTGGTGCTCAAAAGTTTAAATTATGTCTGCAGCACAGCAAGAACAGAAGCAGCCAAAAAGATCCTACCCCCCCCCCCAAATATAGAAATTGTTTGGTTTGTAAGCCCCACATGAGTTAGTGTCAGCTGCTAGTGTGGGGCTCCTCCTGGCCAAGCTGTTTGGCTTTAAAATGAAGCAGAAAGTCCAAGAGAGGCTTATTTGTGTGCATGTTAAGCMGAATCCCTCTCATAATGACTAGAAATAACCCGTCAATTTACCCATGTTGGGATTAGGTATTGAAACATTTTGGTAGCCGTGTAGGATTATTCTTGTTAGATTATTGACTTTGTGCATTTCTGTTGCTTTGCAATGCCTTTTGAATGCAGCTTGAAAGAAAGCACGAGTAAAGAAAWACACTTTCCAACAGCTAAAAATGAGGCTGATTGTTAAATATGTTTACATGAAAGTAAATAACTTAAGTAAATTTCCATAGCTATAATGTAGATTCYAGGGAATTAAAGTGCTAAAGTTGATGTTAGTGCCCTAATAATTAGATGAGTGCTGGGTGGGAAGGTATGAAAATCAAGAATAAATAAGGTTTCTTAAATCTAAATCTCCTGCTTACCAAATAAAGACTGGTTTGTCCTAACTGAAGCCCCAGGACTGCTTCTGTGAATGGGAAGTTTTCAGCACGTGAGACCTTGAGCCCCTTCCTGGTGAGTGTGTGGGTGTCAGGATGTCAAGTTGCTGCCTTTGTAGCTGGCAGGGTTTTTCTTTTCAGACAGATAAGGAAAACAGCCATGCTCTAATGGTTGTGTGATCCCTGTTTGAGACCGAAGGGCACAACTGGTGCGGGTGCCTGCGYGCTGGAGTTTTCCCATGGGGGCGGTGGATGTGCCTTGTACCAGCTGAGAGATGTCCCTGTTTCCTTGGCTGTTTYGTTCATATACCCTTGGCCTGAGCTTTAAACATAAAGCAAGGGAGCGGCTGTGGGTGCTGCTGCTGTCCCTGCAGTCCTCTCACCGCGTGCCTGAACGTCATTTATTTATCTGCTGCAGGACCTCAGCAAGTGTGGATGCATCCGTAACAATGTGGTGTTCTCAGCCTTTCATGTTGTGTAGAAATACTGCCTTTTCTGGTATTATAGAGGTACCTACTGTACCTGCTGTGCGCACTTCCTTAACTTTTACACTTGTGGTGCTGGTAGATTTTCTTCTTTGTTTCTGTACACATGAACAGTAAATGTCAGTCTTTTCACTCTGCAACCATAGCTTCTTGTTGATACTATTATTATTACTATTACAATTGCTGGYGTACGTTTGTCTTATGTGCTCCATGGTTAACTGGAAGAGTTATCTGGAGAATTTTTATAATCTGGACAGAGATACTTCAGGGATCCCTAATAGGAAAGTGTGGTCACTAGGTCATAGAAAACTGCTGTAAAATGATGTTCTTGGAATGTGAATGGCAACAGAGGGGCTCCATAAGGGTATGGCTTCAGAGGCCGAAGATGAAAAATACTCTTCCTCTCTTATATTATGCGATAGAAATAATTATTGTAATTATGCAATATATACCTATAATTATGCAATAGAGTTCATTTTAGACCGAATCAGTTAATTTTAGGGACTGCTTCACTCTTGCTTCCATTCCTCGAGCCCGCAGCAAGGGAAGTGTCTGTGGCTGCACAGGAGAGCTCTGCCCRGTGCAGTTGTTCCTGAACGGCGCTCACCAACTGGCTGCAGGCAGGGGGGCCGGTGCTGAGTGACCCTAAGAAYGGGATGAAACCTCTTCTGTCTTAGCGTACATTGACAGCGGTTTCCATTAATCCTGTACGCCCCAAAGTAGGCAAAAATGGTGATGGGGATTTCAGTGGGCTCAGCATGACACTGCTTTACAGCAGAAGATTCAGCTCTGACTGAAGGGCAGAGATTTCCTATCTGGAAATGTGTGAACTTGACCCATTTGAATGTTAGCAACTAGGGGAGCTAAAAAAAGTAGGGGACTTGTTTTAATAGGCATGGCAGCAGTTGCGCTGTCACTGTTGAGTGTTGAAAAATTAGCATTTCATAAACACCAAAACYGTAAATGTATTTTCAAGCTATTTTATATAACGTAAAAGGTTTTAGTCCATTCTAGACAAACTGTAAGTGGAGTTCAGTTTTGATGTTGTTTCTTTTTCCCTTTCTATGAGATGGCTGTCTTTCTCACAACCGATGGCTCTACAGAGAGGATGATGGAAAGTGCAATAGATGGGCTAACTAAACACCCCTTACGAGCATTCATTAGGTAAGTGTTTTATTTTTAACCAGTACATCTTTTATTTTAAACTGTGGCACTTCCTGTGCAGTACAAAGGCAAATTACTGCTTTTGCTATGCAGCAACACAGAAAGTGTCTGTTTAGCAATAGTTAAACTTAAGGCKCTCTCTCCTGTTCCTTGCTGCAGGGGAGAGGTAAGGAGGGCCTGGAATAATAATCTGTTTTTAAAGAATGGAAATTTTAAAGAATAAAGAATGGAATGGATTAAAAATGGCATCCCAGGCTTAGGTTGGATTAATAGGACATTGTCAGGTGTTCCTCAACAAACATACAAACCACGTAGGCATCTACAGAATAAATATATATAGAATTAAATTATAGGTATAGAGAAGTGATCTAACTTTTAAATGCCATGTCCAGAGTTAAAAGGTTGCCTCGATATCCCAAGCTTTCATATTGCCAGCTGTTGTATTTTTATGGAGTCCATTTGTCACTGTCCACCACCCGCTTTTGCTCCATGACTGACAATATTTTTCTTTAGATTTATATACATTTGTATGTCTGCATATGTCTGTCTGTGCATGCGCATATATGCAAAAATACATTACATACCCACATAATAAGCTTTTTGGAACACAACCTGTGATTTATTTCTGTGGATCCATGTGAGTTTAATCAAGAGAAATTGTTGGGTAAAGTAAGTATCTAAGCCTTGCACAGCTGAATATCTAGTTYTCAAACAAACAGAATCCAAAGTAACCCTGTGCTCACTGCTTTGTTGCTGCTTCCTATTTACTGAGATCTCTCTTCRGTTTTCTGTCACAGCCCTCTCTGGTAGGGGCTCCTTTTCTGTGCTCCAGGTTTAGGCCAGTTCCTCTAACTTATGCATCTTCTCTTTAGCTTGGTCCCAAGATCAGACCAAAGATCACAGACCTCRGATTGTTCCCTCGTGGAATGGTTTTTTTAGACCTTCCCTTCTTTCAGTCTTCCAAGAGAAAATAATGGAACACTTTCATGGACAAAATAACTGAGTCCTCATAGAAATAAATGAYATTCTTTTAATGAAGAAAGTTTATTGCAGGTCTTTCTTTTACAATTCTAGTAGAAAGTATAGCTAAGAAAGACAATGAACTATGACAACTTCATAAGAATGAGCAAAGGAAAGGAGCAGGCTGAATACATACAGTATTGAACTAAGCAGTATGGTAAAGATAAAAACCTGGCCTATCCTCAACTACAGATGAAGGGTGACCGTTCCCCAGTCCTTGTTTCCAGTGCCTGCACCAGGGGAAGAGGGGAGAGCTGGTGGTGGCGGCCGGGCTCGCGGCTCCTCCGTCAGCCGGCGCTGGGCAGTGGAGGGGAGTCCGCGCGGGAGGCTCCGCGGCCGCAGCCAGTGCCCTGGAGACAGCTCAGGAGGGGACGGTTGGGGAAAGGGGCCCCAGAAAGGGGCTAGGACAAGAAGGGCTTCCCTGACTGCAGTCCRCTTTACAAAGAAGTTTCCAGTGTTCATGTTTGCATCCCAAACATCCCAAATAAATCATATTATCTATGCTACCCTGTTCTGATAACAAAYGCGATACAAAAAGGACTATCCCTCCCTCTAGCTCTAGTGCTTGTCCCGTGGTATTTTMCAGTTAGTCCGCTAGGACGATCCTTCATGAAAACTTGGCTCTTTGGGGTCAGTAGAACCAGGTCTAAGAAGGGAGGCGGTGGGAGAGCGCGTGCAGGCCGGCTCTCCTCCCTTGTCCTCCTCTCTGCCAGGAGAGCGCAGCAGGGTCTGGCTGCAGCAGCGCGGCCTGGCCCCTGCTCCCCCTCCTCAAGTACTCCTATAAAACACAGTTAGCTGCACAGTACAGTAATCTACCTAGAGCCCAACGCTGTGAAAATGCAGGAACTTAAACTAACACCGATAACTTTGAAAAACAAAAGTCATCTAAAAATACCAGAATCTTTCCCCTATTGCTGATGTCAAGATGAGGGCAGGGGCATTCACTGAAGCCCAGGGTCACTCGCCCACTATTGCAAGTCCATGACGCCCGCTGGCGTCGCTGCCAGGGTGTGCAAGCAAAGGGCAAACAGAGCGCGGGGCGCAACGAGAGAGAGAAACGGTGCGGAGGGCGCGGGAGCGTCGGGCGCTGGGGCGGCCGCGGTGCCGGGGTCAGTGCCCCGGGGCGGGCTGGGCGCCTGGCAGCGCGGGGCAGCCGGCTGCCGGGGCGGCCGCTCCACCTGGGCCCTGGCYGCGCTTGCTGCAGAAAATCTGGCTCTCTTTATCTAGAGCTGTGTTCTACAAACAGAAAACAAGGTGAAACGTTAGCAGAACAGTTAAACCACGGCCCTGTGTACTTCAGGCATAAACCAATCTACAAGACAGGGAGTGCATGCATTAGAGCCAGGAAAAAGGAGAAATAATATTAGAAATCTTACATAACTTATCTTTTTTCGTACTGATTTTTGAGTATTTAAGGAAAATTTATCTTCCAGATACATTTTAGCCATGCTGATGTAAATCTAAAATTTTGTCTTGCAAGTCTGATGTGGAAAGGAGATGACACGAATGTCTCCAGTGTGGTCTACACTGTTCATATTTGTTGTGACAAAAGTCTGCATCCCGCTGTAGTTGTAAGCAGAGAAAGGGAAAGCTTTCACGGTTCACAGGGAGCACGATGCCTCCTCACGGCAGTCTCTGCCTGTGCCAAGACAACCTACACCATGCAATTCAGACTTTTTTTTTTTTTAAAGAATCAGGAGGCTTAGTCACCTGTTAAAACATATTCTTTTTTAGGAGCAGTTAATTAATCTTAGATTGATTACCTTTTGACTAACTCTCTGAATTTATGAACTCTCACATAGAGGCTGAAGCTACAATTAAATTTTACATCTTAAAATAATTACCATGACAGTGTTCAAGCACTTCAGTTTCTTCTTTATCAAGTCCATCTTTTCAGTTGCCCTGCAATTCTAGGTTTTGTTAGTTTGGGCTATTGCCTCCATGACGCTCCTGAGGAAGGTTTGTACAGCAGTTGTCTGATGTCTCAGCTTACAAAGGTACCTACTGTTCTAGCTGTGCAGAAYGAGCTGTAGCAGATGTGAACTTCTGCCAGGGCCTTTCAGAGGCTGCTAGATACACACGTGCACAGAATTATTCTTGTGCAAGTAGACCAAAAGAAGCAAAAAAGAACTAGCATGTTAATATTACCTTAGTTTGAAAAGTGCATCGCTAGTACAGGGAACTTTTGCAAGTGTTTTAATCTTTTCCATTTTCATGCAGCTGTAAAGCTCTTTCCATTTCAGACTGGCCAAGTAATTTCTCCTTTCTCCCTGTGACACACAGAACGTTTCGCTGTGCAGCAGAACAAAGCGTTGCCGTTAGTACGTACCAGTGCCTTGGACCTACTCAGAGGAAAGCAATGCAGGCGTTGGGAAAGGAGGAAGAGGAAGGAAGCAAGGGACAGAAACTACACTTACTTTAAGCAGAACCAACACAATTGCAACAAATTTAAATTTACAGAACATTTTGAAATTCACACACACCAAAAAAAAAAAAAGAAAAAAAAAAAAAAAAGAAAGAAAATCAGTAGTGGCTTGACAGCAACATGCTTTTAGGAGCGCTAGTTTCCTGTGCAAAAACACTGAAGTAGGTATGTGCAGTTTTGCCTATCTGCCACAGGATGGTATTGTCTGCATTAGCTAGATCCGAATTATTTGAATGAGTTGATGGCCAAAGTAATTTACATGAAAAATATTCTTCCTTGAATAAAAATGTAGATGAAATGACAGAGCAATGCACTCCAGTACATGGGAATTACGACACTGCTTGTCTGCATCTGGTATTTTTTAAAGCCATGAGTTCTGTTACAAGTGAGGAAATAGATGTTAAGATTTAGAAAGATAACTAAATTTCAATGCCCCCAATAAACCAGGGCAAGAATAGCAGTCTGGGGGCCTAGTCCTCTTTAATTTATACTGTTTTGAACAAGGAGTTGTTTGTTCCTGCAGCAATAATTGGAAGCTGCATTCAGAACAAAATCACTGCTCATTTTCCAACCTTTCAACCTTTTACAAAGAAATAAGGCAGGAAAAAAAAAAAAAAAAAACCTTAGTTAAGTATTTTGAACTGGCTGAAGTACTTTACTGGCTGAAGGCATAGCAGTATGGAAAAAAAACCCCACACCAGTAAGAAGGCAGAAGCTTTACTGTGTCAGAGATTTGAGATAAGCTTAAGTGGCATGCAAGTTGGAGAGGGGCCAAGAGTTAGAATTAAAATTGCTCTTATTACATATACTGTATTTTATACCAGGTTTCAGTTTCAGGCTTATCCATAGTCTCAACAGTATAAAGAATGAAGCTCTGAAGTCCCTCTCAAACTGTCAAGTCAAACTGTCAAATGAAATGTAAACAGCACCATCAACCTGAAATCAGTTTTCTGACTTCCCTTTTTGCTATCRTTCTTGCTTGTAAATCTTGTCCCTGTTTAATTCACATGCACTGTTCATCTGGAACTATTTGCTAAAGCCTATGTACATATGCAGAACATGGTTTACATTTACCTACTTACAGACAGTGCTAACAATTCTGTGTTAACATCAGGGATGAACTTGGAGAGTACCTAGTGCTGCACGAGACAAGTGGGGCAGCTGGCTCTCYAGGGCTGCTGCACATTCTGTGCAGAAGGGAGCGCTCAGCTAAAAGGGCACTGCTGAGCAGCACTGTCTGTGTGGGTTCAGCTCTAGCTCACCGGGATCCCTTCTCCTGTTTTGAAGGAAGTCTCCCGTCAGGAAACAAAGAGCACCTGGTAGAAGCTGGACTGGGACCAAATTAACAAGGTAAGCAATGCTATTGATAAAAAGAAGCTTCAGAATATGAGCCTGTTTACTCATAAGCATCGTGTTCGACAACAGATCAAATGAACCAGATGTAATAATGTGGGGGAGAGGGGATGTTGCTGAGGGGAACTTCCTACAAGTAGATGGGTCGTTACCATTCAAATGAGGTTTAAAATGAATGATACCACATGGTTAAATGAGCTGGGTTTCAACATACAGCTACTTAGTGTTTCTAGGGATCCAAAAGCTTGTTTTACGGCTTAGCTTGCGCACCACGAGCACCTTGGCTGCTCCTGAGCAATGATGCCACAGCGTGCACTATACACAGATATGGACTCGAATTAGACACTATTCTAGCTTTGCTTTTGCTATTCTTGCACCACAGATGCTCATAAAGCACTGTTAGAACAATACACACAGTATAAGGCCAGTATCTAAAACTGCTGCTTTCTCTTACCATGATGACAGACACTCCAGCGGATGTGTTGTTTTGCTTGGGCAGGGTATTATTAAAGTGCTGCTTCAGTTTACCTGTTACTTCAGCTTGCATATTATTCTCCTGGGATGCATCATCCTGTGTAAGAAGATAGGCAATACTCAGGTTAAAAGGAAAAGAAAACTTGTGCTTAAAAATAACCAAGCAAATGAAAAGCTTTCAATAATCCTGTGGTACTTTCTGCTTTTTAATGTGAATTAAGTGTTCAGCTAAGCAACTTAAAACCCAATGCCCTCTCCTAGGTGTGATGCAGTTCAGATGGATTAAGACAAATTATAGATGAAAGGAGCATGGCAAMCATAGTTTTCTGCATGAAAACTATAGTTTCTACATGAAAACATCTTAAAATGCCATGTGACCGTGTAAAATCCTAATCTGTTAACTTGGCCCATTAAATGTGATGCCACGTATTTGATCCAGGCAAAACTATCATGTTGCAAACAAAAAGCATAATTATTTGACTTTACTTACTTATCTCAGCATTTTAAATGGCCCACCATGTCCCAGAGGTGTGGAAACAGTACACAGCGCCATAAACATGTTTGAGAGGAGCACGGACACCCACGTGTTACAGTTGTCTTCTCTTACTGAAGGGAACGCCACAGAGCTTATTCATTCCCTCTCTTAAAATGAGTGTGGAAATACATATTGACTATTTACATGTAAACCTAATATCAATTAACAGTAACCTGATTTTAAATCAGTAAGCAATCATGCACTTCGGCTTTCGCCATTGCTAGTGTCAGAAAAGATGAAGACCTGTGAGGCAACAGCGAATATTCATGACAAAACCACCACATTAAGTTACATACTTTATTTGGTTATTTTGCTCATTTTGTTCTTCTTGTGAAGGTTGGAATACCTCAGAAAAACAGGGCATTGTAATGTCTTAAGTGGCACTGTAGCAAGTAAGATGCCAACATGCACAAGAGTCCTTCTGTACACGTACTCTGAGATGAGTGTTTTCTGGGCTGAACTTGAAATAGTAACAATGGTGCCCAGTTTTTTACCAGAGTGCTTTTTTGGTTGTTACTGTTTGTTGTGGTTGTTTTAGCATTTACTCACTGACACCCAGGGATGGCTTAGGATCTGTGCTGCTGTATATCGGGCTTCCGCGTTCACGTGCAGCATCAGGCTAATTAACTCCTAAAAAAAGACACATAAGAACATGAGGAGAGTGGGGAAGGACATTCAAATGGAAAAGTGTTGTTTTTTAAATCTCTACCCCTTCACTGAGCTCTTCTAGCAGCCACTATGGAATCTTCCTACACCCTAGGTGGAAAATGAGCCCACCCTGATACCGGAACTCCAGTGTGACCTCGGGAGGACCAAGTCTAGGTTTTATGGTCTGGTGGGCAGTGTATGCGTGTATATGTACATGCCTATACGTGGTGTCCTGTACTGGTGTTTCAGCAGGTGTTTGGAGAGGCCAAGAGGAGGTGTTGGGGCACGCGCTACCGAGGGGCCGCAGGCAGAGCTGGGCTGGCCGAGCTCCTCCCCAGGCGCCAGCAGGCAGCGGAGCACAGCGCACTACGGGCACAAGGCAGAGGAGCTCCTGCAGTTTTAGAAATTCAAGAAACCACTTAAATAATTTAAAAACCATCTTCCTTTCAGGGTTCTTCCAGATGAATAGAGTGTCTTACTTCACTAGCTAAGGATTGACTGGTCTACGAATAAGTATATAGGGGAAAAGTGCTTAATTTTAAGTATATGTTTAAATCCCTACCATGTTTAAGTGGATGATTGTGGCTTTTGTCACGTTTTGGATGCACCTGAGCAATGTCCTCCCCTTCACCGAATGATTCCTTGGCCCTTTGGTTAACGGCGGGCCGAGGCTGCCCAGATGTGGGGTAAACCTTGCGAGGTCGTTTATGCTGAGCAGTCAGTGAAGTTTGGATTTGCTTCCTTTGTGTGTTTGTTCATTCAGGTTTCTTGCCCTACGGCAGCAAACCTGCCTGCAACCGGCCACTATTTATTGGTGTAGCTCCTGCTCCTACAGGCCTGGAAAGACAAACATTTCTCTCTGCTGAATGAACAAGTTACTAGAGCTCAATTCTTCCAGCTGAAAATCCTGCCATCACTCCCAAACTGTCAGTTTTCATAGTGAGTATTCATATTCATGTAACTGTTCTTACTCAAAGGCATTTCATGGTGATGTCTCTTCAGTCTCTGGAAAAGTGTTTTTTCAACTGGATAACTGCATTGGTAGCCGAGAGGTTTCTAGGCCAGCTAAATTATAGTCTGCAAGTCTGAATGGAAAGGTTACCTCTCGTTTCAAAAATGACACACTCCAGTCCTGTCTATTCACAACACAAGTTTGAGGCGTGCAAGATGGCTGCTGCCTGGGAAAGATTGCCAAATAGATTGATAATCCTCACAAAAAAAAAAATCATTCAGAGGACGTGACTGCGTTAAATGAGAAGAGAGGGCTTAAAATTTAGAATCTGTATCCCTACACATTTGCTCATTTTACACAGAAAGGGAGTTGATGATAGTACCAGCCAGAACCATTAACAGTGGCAGTCAAGTTGGCTGCCCTTCTTGGAAAGTTCTAATAACAACTAGCTCATGTGTGAAATTATAACAAATAAGGTCCATTACATTCCACCCACATGGCAATAATTTTTCTTTTAAAAGAGTGCTAGGAGGGAAAATTGAGAGAGACACTTATTTTACTGCTGAAGCATTGAACTTATTGTAACAGTCCATCATTAAGTAAACTGACCAACATGTGCTGTTCTCTGGGTGCAGTCAGCTTTCTGCTACACTTACTCATTCAGACAGCAACATGACAGGAGGGCTGCAAAACCTGGGCTTTCATCAAGCACAGTTAAGCTAATTTAAAAGGCAAATTGAGAGAGTGCATCTCCAGTAGGGCACAGTCTTTTCAGTGGCTTGTCAGAAACACTTTTCCAGACTAGACAACATCTGTACCTTAGCTGAATCAGTGATATTATCCCAGTATGGAGAAGGAAATTCCAGCTTCCCAACAAGTATTTGATCAAAGAGGTCCTCCTGAAGGTTGTTTTCACTGCAGAAAAATAGTAATTAAAAAAAAAAAAAAAGACGCCTGTCACACAAGTATTAAATTTAATTTTGAGATGCAGCAAAAATCATGCCATCATGTCAACCACTGTAAATGCATAATTTGCAAGCTTATATAACGGTAGCCCTTTTGAGATGTCTTTGCTGTAGTGGTGCACACAGCAGAAATGAGACCAGAAAGATAGTGCAGGTGAAAGGGCTGCCCTGGGACAGAGGCTGCCCAGCCACCACGGATAGGAAAGGAGATTCAGAAGGCACCCACTCGCCTACCTGGCTGCCAAGGATCAGCCATGGCAAGAAATGGTTGGGGGGGAAAGGTAGTGAAATGATACCTGCTAATTAGGCTATTTCTGTACTGAATAATTTGCCTCTTGGCTTGGTTTGTATCAAATATTAAACCTGGTTAAGGACCTGATCCTAGTTAATGCTGTATAGTCGTCACCTCTCCACTAATTGCAATTGCTTTGAATGGGATACTGTATCCTTTAGAAGATATTTTAGTATTGATTATGAATTAACTACAACCAGAAGACAGATACCCCTCCTCTGCTGCTGATGATTTATACTATATTTTCCCCAGAATATTTTTATTAAGTCTCATGATTTTTACTGGGGGTGAAGAGAGGGGAACAAAACAAACAGATGAAACCACTTGCTTGGGATAATTATACCTGCATTTAATATCACTAATAAGAGCACACTAACAGCATATGCATGCCTACCTTTAGCAATTCAGATGAGAATGCCTTAAAGAAGTGTGCTAATTGCTTCTTTTTCTCAAGCAGAGAAGCTTCCCAGGAGCGAAGCGTATCGCTCCTGGCACTGTGGCACGCAGCAGCAGGGACCATGCTTACCGAGCCAGGGCTCGTACGGCACTGCCAGAAAGTGTCGGAAGACTGCAGTGCACCAAGCAAGCTCTGTAAGCTGGGTCAGGGCGGCCGTGTCCACGCAGCAGCGCTGGAGGGCAGAACGCGCAGCTGGCCCCACAGGAGGCAGAGGGAGGGCAGGAGGCCTTGGGCCTTGTCCCAAGGCCACTGCTCCCATAAAAGGAACCCCCCCACACACCTGAGGAGAGGGACAGCTGAGGCCAGGTAAAAAGGACAAAAAGGCAGGGGGTAGGACACGCTGGGCTGTTCTGGCTTTGCACTATTTTTGTCTTTGTTGTACAGGGACACGCACCTGCGAAAGGGTGGAAAGCCACAGAGCAGGATGTAGGTGATCACGCCAGCGGCCCAGATGTCCACCTTTAAGCCGTAGCTGCAGAAGGGAGACACCGTGTTACTTGTGCTGCACAGTGCCCAGAACTGCATGACCAGCTCCTGGCAACCTGCTCTCCCCCGAGTCTTCGGAAGGGGCTCGGATTCCAACCATGATCAAGGGTTCCCAATGCACAAAGAGCCCTGGCAAGGGTGCCAAGGAGGGGGCTGCCTTTCCCTCCTCGCCGACACTGCCAGGCCAGGCGAGAGGCCGCGGCAGCCTCTCAGGCGAGCAAGCCAGAAATGGCACTGTCCTTTGGGAAGTGGAGAAAGGAAGGAGGAAGGGGAGGTCTTCTCCCCATAGTTTTTCCTGTCCCGTATTCAGACTTTTTATCCAAGTCAAGAGGGGCCCTGCTGAAGCCCCCCTCTCCTGTCTGAGCTTGCTGCAGCTCTGAAACGCACTGAACCAACGTGGAAACACCACAAGAAGCCCCCTCGCATGGAAGGGCCAAACTAGGGACGGCCCCTGTGAGGACAAGAGTCAGGGGGCATGGAGTGGATGGAGATCCAACTGTGTGAATGCAAAGAAGATGGGCAAAGTTGTGGGTTTTAGAAACTGGTCTGTTTTTATGCAATCACTTGATAAATACAGGGTTTTGTTTTGTTTTGTTTTTTGGTAATTGTACAATGTTATTTAAAGAGCAGTACCTGCTAAATGGATCTGCTCACAAAAGCTATGTCATAGTTATTCATCCTCACCCTGTCTCCGCGATGATTTCTGGAGCCACGTACGTGGGTGTCCCACAGACAGTGTAGAGAGGGCCTTCAACCACAGTTGCCAGCCCAAAGTCTCCCAGCTTTAGCGACTTGGTGCCATCTGAATATTCACATACCTGTAGGCAGCAAAATTAAATTCAAACAGAACAGTCAGAAGGGCTGCATTTTTTTTTTCCTTTCATTTGTTTGGAAGATAGTCACAGAGAATGACTCTGTTTCCACAGCAGCATCTACACTGGAAAGGGGGCTGCCACCGCAGACTGCATTGAGTGCTGGCTGGAATACGTCTTCGTTAGAAGAAGTTACACGCTTCAGCTTCTGACCAAGGCCTTTCATGTAGTAATACCTGCTAATAAACTCTGTGCATGGCAAATCAGTACCCAATAGATCTTCCAATTCTATGCCMTTTTTCCAGAGGCACAGACATCATTACAATGCCAAGACCTTTAAGAAGGTGCTTTGTGAGCCCTGCATCTGTAGTTATCTAAATAAAAATATCTCCTAGGATCTCTATACAAAAATATCTGGAGAGCACAAGCTTGTAGTATCTGTACAAGTGCTGACCAGACTGCTGCTTCATCTCAGGACAGTTTTTGAAGGCTGAAATAGTTTTGCACCATTTGATGGAGGCAGTTTATGGAAGGGTCTTCTAATGTTTCCCTCTTTTTATGAGCTAGGATGAAGCTGCTTCAGAAAGCCCACTTCCCTCCCCGCAATGGCGTTCTGTGACTATTTACCAGTGGTTCCTTATGGGCTTGATGTAGGCAATTAAGTATAAGGTAAGGTACTAATAGAAACACTTTTTGTAACAGGCTAAAACGGAATGTGTTTGTTCTGGACACAGTATCTGTGGATAAAACATTTTCCTGCCTTTTTGCACTATATACATTTTTTTTTTTTTTTTAACCAAGCACGTTGGAAAAAAAAATGTTTGCTGTGTGGGGTAGTTGTAAGTACACTAAGGAATCTGAGAATGTTGTTAGATCATTGATTTCCCCAGAGAAGCAAGAGCCCAGATACCATATCTAGCTGCATCATATTGCAGAGTAGTTTGAAGAAATAGCATTGGGAATCAAGCTGTCCTTTTCCGCTCCTCACATTTCACAGCTGGCTAATACCCAGTCCTTGTGGGCAGCTGCCTGAACCCAACATAGCTTTGCTCCTAGTCTCGTGCCATGTCAATAAATGAAAAGCCGACGCACGCCACCGGGAGCAGCAGGAGACCTGCACAAAACCTGAGACCTTCACCAGCCAAGCTGAAAAAGAGAGTAACTGAAAACGACACTCATGGCCACAACCTCATATGCCCTGGCCCACCTGACACTTTTATTTTTGACATATATATGAGTGTGTGTCGGTTTGTGCTTGCCTGTGTGTGCGTGTCTGTGGGTCTGCGTTAGAGTGTGTGAGAAAAACGTGCATGAGCGTATGTGAGTGCGTGCGTGTGAGTGCGGCTGTGTGCGTGTGTGTGTGCACACAGGTACACGTGTACAGGTAGGTGTATGGACATGTGTGTATGTGTGTACATGTGTCTGGGTGTGTGCGTATATAAGGATGAGTGTGTGTGTGTGCACATGTCTGCACGTGTACAGGTGTGTGTGCATGTGTCTGTGTGTACATGTACGTGTACATGCATTTGTGTGTGTCTGTGTACATGTCCATGTGTGTATGTGTGTGCATGTGTGTGTCTGCATGTGTCAGTGTGTGTATGCAGGTGGGTGTGTAGGGGTGTGTGTACATGGCTGCATGTGTGTGTGTGCAGGGGTGTCTGTCTGGGGATGTCTGTGGGGGTATGGGTGTGTGTCTAGGTTTGTGTGTATGTAGGTGGGTGTGTGTTTAGGTAGGGGTGTATATGTAGGTGGGTGGGGGTAGGGTGTGTGTGTGTGTGTGTGTGTCTGTAGGGGTGTGTGGGTGTATGTGTGCAGGGGGTGTGGGTATAGGGGGGTGTGTAGGAGAGTGTGTGTAGGAAGAGTGCGTGTGTAGGAGTGTGCATGTGTGTGTATGTAGTTGTGTGGGGGGGTGTAGGGGTGTGTGGGTGGAGGGGTGTGCGTGTGTAGGCATGTGTGTGTGTCTGTGGGCGTGTGGGGGATGAGTGTGTGTATGTGTGTCTGTATGCGTGTCTGAGTGTGTCTAGGTGGGTGGCTGTTGGGGTGTGTATAGGGGCATGTGGGGGGTAGGTGAGTGTGTAGGGGCATGTGCGTATATGTGTGTAGGGGCATGTGTGTATACTGGTGTGTCAGGGGGGTGTGTAGGTGCGTGTGAGTGTGTGGGTGTGTGTAGGGGGAGGGGTGGGTGGATGAGTGTGTATGTGTAGGGGCGTGGGTGTGTGTGTAGGTGGGTGTGGGTGTAGGGGTG